TTTATTATTAACTATTAGTGCAGTAGGTACTATAACAGCTTGGCAATTAAATTATTATCAATTCATTGTTGTAGTCTGTGATTGTCTCATATAGTCAGGTACTAAGGTGTAACCTTGTTGCTGTATTGGWGAAACAAGAAATAACAAATTGAGTATCCTAATTTTATTAACACATACTATACATAGCACATACATTGAAAATATCAAGATTAAATGAGTTGCTTTGTTTTAACTTAATATAAATTATGATTTTTTTTTTCAGTTTTAGTTTCTGCATATTAATTAATTAATAATTTAAGTAATTTTTAATTCAACAATATGTATTTTAGTATTTATATAATACCTATGCATTCATATGTATAAATTTAAACGAGAAAGTCATGTTATTGAGTTAATCATAATTAACTTAAAAGTATAAGTTTGTATTTATAGCATGATATTTTTCGATAGKAGGTTTTGGTTTTATCTCTTAGTAAATAAATGTTAAATTAAGTACAGACATTCAGTGTATGATTTTTTTGATCTATATAATTCTTTCGGATGATTAACAGTTTACTTGATGAGAATTTTTCTAAAAAAATTAAAGAAGTATAATATTTTAATTTACAATATACTTTCAACTTTCAATTTATATAATAATGGCCCAACTCAACGTGCAAAATYATCAATTGTATTTATTTATTTAGGATAGCTCTTAATCAGTAATCTCGAATATAGTGCGTGTGATCAACACTGAGCCTGTTCCTTCACAGGAAATATTGAATGATGAAAAATGTCCTTAAGGCAATATTCCTAGCTAAAATCAAATAGATAATATTATGGTAGGTAGTATTACAAAATACAGTAATGTACAAATGTAAATATTAAGAGGGATATGTCAGTAAACTGTATTTTGTTTTCTCTCTTTGATCAATTAGTGCAAYATAGAAAATTTGATCTCAGCTGAAAACACTAATAATTTTCAAGTTTTAATTGCGTACTTATAAGTTATAGTTCTTAGATAATTATTTARGTATATGTTTGAACCACGAATTAATATATATGTACATATAAAGTATATTTTAATTTRTGGTTTGGGCTAAATATGAATATGGTTATTCATAATTTACAAAATACAATTATTGAATTACTTAGTGATCAAATATTATTTAATATTACCTATATGGCTATATATATTATATGAATAATAATTATTTATTTTGGATATTGTGCACAATATGTGGGCCATAATTATTAGCAAKGGGATGTACATCTTTTAGTAAATTATGATTTATYCTATGCAAATGTGGGATATGTCACATGC